TATATATATATATATATATCTCCTTACTATATGTTCCATTCTATGCATCCGATGAAGTGGGCTGTAGCCCATGAAAGCTTATGCACAACTCCAAATGGAATCCCTAGATATTCAGTGGTATGATCCACCATTGGGCTTTGCATTTCATAAAGCAGTGGGGTTGTACAAGGCTTAATTCCCAATGTGTGGCATGTACTTTGGTTAATATGGTACCTTGTAGAACTCCTGAATGGCTTTGCTGAGAATGACAGACTCAGCCTGTATCCGCCCCACCAGGTACTGGATGTACTTATCAAAGTCCTCCTCGTTCTTAATGAAGCACATAGCCACGTCGTCATCAGTGTCACATTTCTGCAGCTCTGGGAAGAAGGAACTGTGGAGGTGGAGAAAGAGGGACATTTGAGAAGAAGCTGGCACAGAGAAAATAGAACACAGACGAGGCAAGAACCTCACCAGAGCTCTACACCTAAATACACATGATCCCGTTTAAACCAGCTTAATGAAGTGATCTGTGTTGTCAGAGCTGCAATCGTACCCAGAGGTAAAACTTTAAATGCCACTGGGCAAGTACCTCATCAGACCTGAAATTTAGGCAGAAGACCCTACTGGCTGGCTTGAATTTAAGAAATGCGGGAGACAAAGGAAGAGAAGTTCTCAGGGGCTCAGACTGGAGCAGGGAGTTGGAACCTGTGCCTCAATTTGAGTGTCCCTGAATTCCCTGAGTGGGTGCGGTAAGATTTCCCCTCCTTTCCCTGTACCAAGAGAAGAATTTGGCCAGGATGAAGGGAAGTTGTTTTGTGAGCACTGCATTTGAGGTAAATCTCTCCTCAATGGAGGGGGGCTGTATCTGGGTTTGATGGCTAGGTTGGCTACATTTGAAAGGAACATTGTGCAAGGAGTTGAACATTTAGCAGTTGGTCTCAATACGGACTCTGGAGCAGTCGTTTCCTCCCCTGAATGTTTTGGAGCACAACAGTTGTGTAAACTCCCAGCTGCCTGTGAAGTCATGGAGTTCACACTCAACAGGCCCTCAGCATCTTCAGCCATATGGAGGCATTCTGGGACAGTGCTTAGAGGCCAGGGTTGTGGCCTGCACATTTTATGCCCCCTTCTGATCAGATTGCTCAGGCTGCTGGAAGAAGAAATCTGTGCTGACAGTGTGCATAGCTTTTGCAGGATGGCCAGAACGTAAGTGCATTACAAGCATTATTTTTTGCCCCCTTTTGACTGTAAAACAACAATGTGCCACAATTTGACCCCTTGTGAATACAACTGGGTCATTCAAAGTAGGTATTGGATCTACACTGGTTATCTCAGTCCTTAAATACAGTGTTGGAGTCTTAAAGAACCACCTCCCCTGAGAGAAGGGGCTGTGTATTTTATAGGAATTTTATAGTTATTCAATGAAATTCGCCTAGCAGGGCAAAAAATGCTCAGCAGAACAAGAGAATTTTAAAATTCTGGGATTGTAATAACACTACTACTTTCCGATTCCCATTCCTGTGTTCTTGCTCTTGTCTCCTAAAATTCTCATCCACTCCCTTCCATCTTAGCATTTCCCACTTTCCATGGTATGCCTCATAACCACAGCAATTTTGTCACTAACACTGCAAGACATTAATTTATCTGTAATGCGTCCAGGTACACTTACTTGGAATGGAAGCTCGCAATAGCACTGACATTTCTGAAGATAGTAGATTTCTGACTGGCAACAGTTTCTGGAACATCCGGACAGCTCTCTATGTACTGGAGGTGATGGGTCTGGAGGAACTGCAGATCTTTGACAAACTCCTCCTCAGAGTTCAGCAGTTCCTGAATGATGAGGCTAAAGAAAAGACAAACAGACAAAGGGCAGAACAATTACAAATATTGTTCTTGACGGGCTGATTTCCAAGAGGGGCAGGCTCTGTTCCTTCCGGGCCCCAGCTGCAGTGCGCTGCGCACCTCGACTGGCCCTGAAGTTAAGCAGAACTCAGGGTGTTCAGCACCTCATAGGATCAGGTCCTCAGAGAGGAGACTACATAGTTCAGTGCACAGCATTAGGGATGTAACTAATAACCAGAATGAGGCTGCGGCTACTTTTCTCCCTGTTAACTCTGAGTGACAAGAGGATTCAAGGAGAGTAGCTGCGGCACAGTTCCCATGCTGCGGTGTGGTAAATATTTCTACTGCAGAGCTGCATGGTGTTGGACCACACTGGCAGTGCTGGAAGACTGCATATGGCCCTTATATGCTACCCTTCAGCTCTCCCTTTATGTATTATATTGAGCATTGGGCTGCTAAACCCAGGGTTGTGAGTTCAATCCCTGAGGGGGCCATTTAGGGATCTGGGGCAAAAATCTGTCAGGGATGGTACTTGGTCCTGCTAGTGAAGGCAGGGGACTGGACTCAATGACCTTTCAAGGTCCCTTCCAGTTCTATGAGATAGAGCACCCACAGGGCAGAACTAGTTATACTGGAAGGGACTCCAGAGCCTTAGTAGTTAACTACTCAGCCACATGGCAGTATGCAAGGAACAAGCAGGTTGGACAAGAAAACAAATCTTGCTCCCAAGCTGGTTTAGATCACATGGTATTTCCTCAAACCTAAATCAGTAGCGACTTAGAATTCAAACGTTTAAAACCTACTGTAGGTTGGAAGCTTCAAGAGCTTAGCTGGACTCTGGGAGAGGGGAGAGGGGAGCGGGGGTATGGGGGGTTTAGCAGCAAAGAAATTGGGCTTTCATCAGACAGTCCTGGAGGCGCAAATGGAATGTGTGGATCCTTTGGGAGAAGCCTCAGCCCCAAGCGTCCCTGTTTGTTCACCTGGCACTATCCCTAATGGCAGCAGTGCAAATCAAAAAGCGCTCACCTCAGCTTCTTTTTATATTCGTCTTCTGAAACAGAGTCTCCAGGGAACTCGGGAGCTTCCGATGCACCCCACTCCGGTGACAACTAACAGACAAACAGGAAACATCAGTTCTCTAAGGAACAGAGCAGGAATGTCTGTATCATGTAACTGGAGCGTGTCTGCAGGGTAACTTCAGGCATGGCGCTGTCACATGCAGCTTGTTTCTGTCCCTAACCAAGGCCACAGCCAGAAAAAGCCATTTTTGTAAAGGTTCATAATCTGCCAGTAGCAAAACTGTAGATCACTGCCAGACGGTAACACCCTCAGGGTTTCAAACGGTGCTACTTGGGGCAGGGCTTGCACTGGGAGCCTCTTCTGGCTCTGGGAGGGAGGAGAAAGGGTAGGGAAGATCTTTTACAGAACAATGAATCCACATGTCCATGACTGAGTGTCCGGGATCATCTTGCCCGCCTTCTGGTAGCTGGGCCCATGAAGAATAGCAGACTGGTACATACAGCTGATGGAGTTAGCTCTGAAGCTCATGTGGTGGGGGGTTGTGCTTTTTGGTGCTGAAGGTCCCAGGTTTGGTTCCCACTGACAACTCAACTGGATTTGTTCCGTGGGAACCTACACTCTGTCACACACCACTGTGTTAACCTGAAAGTGCTTGAAGGCCAAAGGGATAATGGAAGCGGAGATTATGGTGATAGGTGCCAATATAAGAAACTGGATCGATGGATTTTGGGGTTCTAGCCCCAAATATGCAACCTTTTCATTGAATCAGGCACATGTGTTATTTCAGACTGAAGAACTCTTGACTCTTATTGCCTTAATTCGGTGTAAAAAGCAAACAGCACACCTCATGAGGCTAGTTAAATACGCACATTTTTAAAACAACATTAAATTAATAAATATATGCCAATACAAGCAAAAGAGAGGGCCGTGGCTACACAAGTGCGTAGCTGGGAACACGGGGAAGCGCAGGGGAATCTACCATGATTAGGAATGATAACTTGTCTTACAGAGATGATAAAACAGGAAGGGGCAATGGGCAAGGGCAGCCTGTCTCCAAGAAGAAGGGTTTGGTTTGGAAGAAGGAATACTGAGCAGTGTTGTTTCTCTGTATAAAACATCCCAAACTGGGGAGACCCATGTTTCCTTTGGGGGCAATGGAACGCTGTTGCTCAAATGCAGGAGGGCTGAGAATTTAATAGTACCATTATACCACGACAAACTACCGTGTAACAAGGCATGATAGGACTCCGAGTGTATTATATCCATGACTCCCGGTCAAACGCGCTCAATTTACAAATAAAAATATGGCCTTTCCAACTGCCAGCTCTGCAAACGCAACCTGAGATCTGACTGTCAAGCTGGGTTCTTTCTGTCTTACTCACCATCAGCTGGGCTTCTGCAGCTCAAATAAGCCCATGAGTTACATCAGAGCAAACCCAGCATAGCCAATACCCCCAGTGGTTAGGGCACTCCCCTGGGATCTGGGAGAGCAGTGCACAGGTCCCTGCTCTGCTTGATTTGGGTCTCTCTCTGGGCTATTGGCACTCTCATGTTTTGACCAGAAATTCCACCCTGGACCTGAGAATCCTTCTCAGTGAAAATGTAGTCAAAATCGTTATGTTTCTGCAAAACGTTTTGGTTTTGATGAAGCAGCATTTTTGATGGAGGAAAGTTTTGCTGACTTTTTTTGACCCGCTCTCCTTCCAGTTATGCCCTTGGTGACACCTGTACAACTTTGAGGTGGGGCGGGTAACACAAATATACATGACTGGATTTTGGTAAATAATTCTATTAATGATACACCAGACTAGATTCCAGCTCACTCCCTCATAGCTGTGTTGTTTCCAGGGCTAATCGCAGCAAAACCCAGCAAACACACACAGTTGTCATTGAAGTCAGAGGACAGAACTCTAGCTAGGTATAGGGAGCAGAGCTGATGAGTATGTAAAAATGTCCCCTTTGCACTCCCTTTTCAGAGTAGAATTGCCCTCATGGAAACTCAGACAGCCGGAGCAAGCAGGGAACTGCTCTACCATGCAAAGGAAACAGTTTCCATAAAAAAATAAAACAAGGAAGATGGATCACCTTTAATTTCTTGTCCAGATAAGCCGGAGACACCCATCCCTGCCGAGAGGGGCTGGATTTAGTGGGTTTGGTCCTGACTAGCCACTTTAGAGGATGAGCAGAGTCAAGGACTTCCACATACTGCCCTTCTTTCAGAGTGATGACTTCCCTGTCAGCGCCAACGGGCACATAGTCAGCCGTGACCATGTAGATGTCAAAAATCTACAAGCATGAAATGAGAGTTATTCGTATGCATGAAAGCGAGGTTATGATAATAGCAATAGCAAGCAGGCATTTTACCCGTGTTAAATACTTCATCCCCACCATCCCTGGAGGATAGAAGAGAAGCATTACCTCCATTTTACAGATGGAAAACTGAAATTCAAAAACGTTAAGGCCGAATTTTTAAAAAAAATGTGCACTAACTTGAGTGGCCCAACTTGAGATACCCAGGCCCTGATTTTCAGAAGTGCTGAATTCCTGTAGTTCCCATTGACATCACTTGGAGCTGTGAGTGCTCAGCACCTTAGAAAGTCAAGCGCGGAGTGTCTCAAGTTGAGCAACCAAAACTTGAGACCCCAAAATTAACAGAAGCCATTAAAAATGTTGACCTACGCAACCTGTTTGAGACCATGCCCTGGGTGCGAAAGCGTGGATTAATACTCTTAGTCCTGTATTCCATTTATTAGACCATACACCTTAAACCACTGACACCATTTTAAGATGGAAACCCTTAAAATACCCTAGATTCGTTTATTCAGAATGATTAATCCTTTCTCCTAGTAAGCACTTGTGTGATGTTTATTCATGTGTGCACTGTACCTCCCCTCTAGAATCCCCATCCTCAGATTCAGAGGAAGACTCCTGAACTATTGATGAAGGTCGAGATCTGCCATGGCGCGGAGATGGGGATGGCGTCTTCGATTCGTCATCACTGTCTGCTCCAGGCACTCGAAGCGTGGCTGAAATGAAGAACAGTGGGGAAACAGGTACACAGATGAGAGACTGTTCTCGTGTGAAAATCAAATAGGGTTCAAATCCATAGGATTTTTTTAAATCTTCACAAAATCAAATACCCCCAGGACAGACCTCTTGCATCATCCAGTACATGAGCTCCTGTTAATAGTTGTGATGGCATATGCATATTGGGCATTTGAAGTCCCTGAGATTACATGATTTACTTCAGTCGGACTGTAGAGAGATAACATAGCAGCATGTGGGCCCATACCATTACTGTAAATTCAAACACTGTTGGAAGAGCAACGTAACTATGAAAGATTCAAACTTTCATATGGACCTAATTCTCATTTACATGAAGGCCACTTTATATCTCCCTAGTCATATATATGGGGCCTGAAAGTGCACGTAAATATAACTTACTGCCATTTTGAGGCCTATTTATACTGCCAGGGTGGTCTGGAGCAGTGTCAATGTCAATGAAATTTTGGCCTACATAGCTTTGGTAATAATAATCAGTAGTTAGTACTTATATGGGGTTCATATTGTTCACAGCGCTACCTAATTAACGCTCACAACACTCTGGTGAAGTAGATATGCAAATATCATTAACCCCATTTTACAGGTGAAGAAACTATGATTAAGAGAGGATAAATGATGTGCTCAAGGCTACATGGCAAGTAATGGCAGGGCAGAGATTAGTGCTCAGGAGTTCTTGCCCCTCAGACACGTGCTTAATCCACTGGCTTAATCCTCTTTAGTCTAGTAATTCACAAACATGGTAAAACATTTGAAAAATATGTGAAAATTTATTCAATTTGTATTTTCACTAAAACAAAACTGAAAGTTCATGCCTGTATGGAAAAGTCCCTTTTCAACTCTAGATGCTAACTTTCCTGGAAAGTTCCAGGAACAGCATAAAGAAAAGTCAGGGGATTGATCTCTATCTGATGAATCTCTTATTAGTGTTATATTATTATTGTTATTATTATGTGCAAAATAATTGTTTCATAGATGAGATTTAAAACTCAACCCAAACCTGAAGATTGACTGCTCTGCTGTGTATTCACACTTGCCAAGCGCTTACCCTGACTTATTTTTGCAGACACCATTTCTGTGATATGGGAGGTGAGTTTCTGGAGGAATTCTTCTGTTCCAACATCAGCTAATGAAATGTGACTTCTGGACACACCTTCTTTATCAGCCTCACCTTCTACAAGCTCTCCTAGAAAAGGGAGAACATGCTATCAAGTCTGTAGTATGTCATCTGAAAGTCCATTCCAATGAACCAGACATGACTGACTTGTCCTTCTGAAACTGATGTCAGTGATACTATGGTGTCCAGACAAGAACAATTTGGAGTTCACACTCCCCACCAGACACAGTGGAGAGTCACCTCTACAGGGGACACAGCCTCTCAGTGGATGGGTAGCATGTAGTGATTGAGGCAAGAGTCCACTCACTGAACAGTAATGATAAAAATAAATATTGAACAGCTGCTTTATTCCCTGTGGACCATTCGACCTATGCAACAAATGATGCAGTGTCCTGCAGAAAAAAATAGTATGTGATCATGCAATTAAGGGCCGGCTGATAATGCAGAAGGGGGCAGAGTTAAAGTTGCACAGAACACTGCTTAGATTCCAGGGTGATTGGTGTGGTGTAAAAACCTTAACTCTGCTCCCTTGTGGGAATGCACTTGACCTGTGCATTCCTATGGAGTCTTGCCTCCCTCAGGCTGAAATTCACCCCTGTACAGTTGGCATGAGGCCTAAAAACCACTTAAGTTCTATTTAGGCTCCATTTTGAAGAATTATGTGGGATTCAATAGCTGAATGTTCCTTATGCTGGTCTTATGCATAGAGATAAATTGTACCCTCAATGTGCAAACCTTGGGTACATTTTTGAGTACACAGCTAGACTGGCCAGGAATGCCTGGAGCACAGCCTGATGTCCTTCCAAGCCAAACAGTTGTTCCAAAAAAGGTGACATAAGTATTTTGTAATGAGAAAAGTGTGTATTTCAGAATTTCAAAAAGTTCTAAGGAATTGAAAACAGAAGGTTACAATGGAAACACATTGGCAACCTTAACTATAGATGTGGAGGTCATGAGTCTCCAGCTAAAGCAGCTTCTCCTACCTTTCCTTGGTTCAGGAGGGTGGATAGAGATACCAACTCTGAAAAAGAGAAAGGGGGAGTCAAAGGCCAAAATGACAAGTGTGATCATGGAAGCTATTTACATCAGGGATGAGTCAGAACCAGACGCCCTTTCACTCTTCACATGGTCTTTGAGCATATCTGGATTAGGACCCAGATGTGAACTTTAGAACTGATGATAAACTCTGAACACGGAAACCACAATCATGCCACACTGAAGCCAATGGGGTGGCATAGGTCTTGTTATTCCTCTTGCATGAGGTGTAGAATAATAGAACCATGAGGTTAGAAGGGACCACAAGGGTCATCTAGTCTAAGCCCTTGCCCAGATACAGGATTTGTTGTGTCTAGCCATCCAAGACAGATGGCTTATTTTAACATGGAGTTTTAGAGGACTGCATTGCCCAGGGGAACCGTTCATCTCTAAAACACTGGTTGAAATTTTGCCCAGGTTATTAGTGACTGAAAGTGTTACCATGAGAGGACTGAACAGTGACTTATGTCAAATGAGAGTTCTAATCTCAGTTCTAGCTCTCAGTGAATTTATGTCCCCATTGCCAACTATTGCCCTAGTTTGTAGTTATAACAGAGAAACCAAGGACTGAGGGATATGCAGACTGTCCGTGGACCTGCGCACAGAGGAGGTCCCTGCAGATCAGGATTGAGGTATATTGGTGGGACAGTTTGGGGGTAAACTACCACTGCCAGTGCTGTAATTATTCGGCCGGTAAAAAGAAGTTTTCACACTGTGCAGGGCTGCTAGTCTGACACCTTCACCAGCACAAAATTCACTCAGCCCAGGAAAAAAAAAAAACCTACATTTTAAATTGTGAATGAAGTTAGTGTTCATGAGCGTGAAAAACCAACAGCACTAGGCTGTGTCAAGCATCGCATGGAAAGACACTGTGCAAGGTTTTCCCACAGCACAGCTCTGCCAATGCACTTCTGTCCTGATATGCAACACTCCTGCTTTCCGGCGTCAGTCCTTTCTGAGGCTAGGTCTACACTACAGCGGGGGTCCGACCTAAGATACGCAACTTCAGCTACGTGAATACCGTAGCTGAAGTTGCGTATTTTAGGTCGATTTACCTGGCTGTGAGGACGGGGGAAAGTCGACCGCTGCCGCGCCGCCGTCGACTCCGCTGCCGCCTCTTGCCGCGGTGGATTTCCGGAGTCGACGGCAGAGCGATCAGGGATCGATTTTATCGTGTCTTCACTAGACGCGATAAGTCGATCCCAGAAAACTGATTGCCTGCCGCTGGACCCTCCGGTAAGTGTAGATGTACCCTGAGACAGAGATTCCCATTTGTGTCAAATCATGCCAAGTTGTGTGGTGTGCAGATCCTGGACACATCATTACACATCTTCATAAAAGTGCTCTGCATTTTCTTAAGGAAGCAATGCTGGAACCTTCTTACTCTAGGAGAAGCAAAACTAGCAAATAAATATAGTTACAGAGCATTTCAGGGACATAGTCTTGACAAGCAAGAGATATTGACATTGTCCCTTTAATTGAATTATTTTTAAGTTGAGAGCCACCAAATTTTATTGCCAATGTACCAGACACGACTTTTAAAGAAAAATTCCAGCTGTAAACCTTTTAAAAATGTAATGACTAGTTACCAGTGTTTATTTTTCAAAATCTTTTTCTCCTATCTAGTATGTAAGATCAAGATGGCAGAGGTGGAGAATTATGTTTCAGTTAAATTAGTAAACAAGCAGTTTAGTGGTTATCCCCATCATCCATTTTTTTCCTCAAGCTATGCAAGTGAAATTCAGAATTTGAGTATGGGAATTTTGCCTGCTTTGGAGGTGAAGGAGGCACACTATACGAGAACAAGAGTTTTCATACAACTTTACCCATGTCCTTTTCTGTCCTTGTCTTCATACCTGCCAATCAAGAAGAAACTTGTTACTATTAATACACTCACTTATCTTTCATTGGAGGATCTCAAATAATCTAATAAACCTTCAGAAATTACCACATGCCTCTAAGGTTCTTATCTGAAGTATTAGCCCCATTTTACACATGGCAAAGTTGAGGCACAGCATGGGTACAGCCAACATTATCAAACTTTAGTACCCCAAATTAGGTGCCCAAGTCTATTAGGCTTCTAAGTGAAAGTGACCTGTTTTTCAGAGGTGCTACAACTACCATTGACTCTGAAAATCAGAACATTTACATTTAGATGCCTGTTTTAGTTCCTAAAGTTTGACATAAGAGAGTTTTCCAAGCCTAGGCAGATATTCCATGTCAGGACTAGGAACAGAATCTAGATCTCCTGACTCTTTTGACTGCACAAACTAACTCCTTATCAGGTCATATCATGAAAAAACCTTCATGCATTATGCAAGCAAAGTGCTATCCTTTAAAACACAGATACTGACAGTGTCCCACTGCACATATTCAGCACACTTTGGCTCTGCTGTACTATCTCATGAGAAAACCTTTGTTATGCTCTTGGCCATTCTGTTTACAGGCCTAATTCTGTACCTGCTCCACGTGAGAAACCCCATTAACAACATCTCTTGGAAGCAGTTGCAGAATGGGGATCTGTATGAATTGGCAGGATTATGAACTAAACCAAGTCTAAGAATTTAAAACAATCCTTTATTCTTAACCTTATGTACAACTCAATATTTAGATGAGAAATGGAGCTAAAGTCACATTATTCCTAAGAAAACTATTACAAAATTAACAAGGAGTCCGGTGGCATCTTAAGGTGCAAAGTGCACTGCAAATGAGTGCAAAGCAGGGCCGGCTCCAGGCACCAGCCCTCCAAGCATGTGCTTGGGGCGGCACCTGGAGGGGGGCGGCGCTCACCCGGGGAGAGTGGGGCCGCGGCCGGGCTCGCCGCCCTCCTCCCGGCGCTCCAGCCGGTCGGGGAGAGCGGGGCCCCGGCCGGGCTCGCCGCCCTCCCCCAGCGCTCCGGCCGGCCGGGGAGAGCGGGGCCACGGCCGGGCTCGCCGCCCTCCCCCGGTGCTCCGGCCGGCCGGGGAGAGCGGGGCCCCGGCCGGGCTTGGCGCCCTCCCCTGCCGCGCTCCCCGCCAGGGGGCTGGAGGGGGGGCGGCGGGAGGCTTTTTTGCCTGGGGCGGCAAAAAAGCCAGAGCCGGCCCTGGTGCA